CTATAATCTCTATAATACCTGATATCTATAAAATCTATAATATTGATCTTTTTTTTTTATAGGTATAATATTGTGTTTTAATTGTAAGTTAAAGTTTTGGAGCAAAAACTTTATAGGCTTATAAAGTACAAGAATTTCATGAACGGCTATTATAAATTCAAATTCTTGCAAGATCTTTTTGCAGCCTATTCCTCTTATGTTAATAAAATAAACGAACATGCTGCTCATGCTTTAACTTATTTCCCAAATAATTCGTATTGCAATCATTTAAATACATATCCTTCCTGGACAAAAACACAAGTACTCACTTCCTTATTAAGTAGTCTCCATAAGATCCCGTTACATCTTTGAGATCCTCCGGTTTTATTTTATCCAGAATATTACGATGAATACTCACAGCTGCCCTACTTTCCTCCACGGGCATTATTTCACCATTAATAGTGGCAAATTCATACTTGATGGGATCGAGCAAACCTGTGTCTGAACTCAGCAAATCATGTTTGGAGGCAAGTTCAAACACCACGTTTCCAGATTCTCCATGGACCCATTCAGCGCCGAGATCCACCACATACTCACCTGGAAATATTGAAGTCTTACTCAGACGTCTCAGACTCCAAATTTTCTTAAATATCAAAAGTTAAAAAATTGCAAAACTATCTCGACATCAAAGACAACATGCAAAGCTAAACTGGATTCAAAGTCAATTAGGAAGATTATTATTTACCAAAGTTTGTGGTATTTATTCTGCCGCCAATTCTATCGTTGGCCTCTAGTATCACAAAGTCGCTCACTCCTCTCTTCAACAGCCTGGAGGCAGCCGCAATGCCAGATGCCCCAGCTCCAACAATCACAATTTTTGTCTCCTTCGGCATATCGCAAGCCCCCGACGATTGCGCTGAACCCAACAGATTTGCTGCACTGTTGAAGAAATGTCTCTGGGTATTGTCGGGAACAAACGTGAATAATGATCTTAAACGAACTTGAATTGGCTCAAGCAGATAACGCATCGGATTAGTCAAATCACTGGTTAAGAAAGATCAGTGTTATCTCAACCAGGAACAAAGCACACTGGTAATTCGCAATCTTCTCAGTTAGCTCCTATAAAATAAGACACGCGAAATTTTATCTATACAGATTGTTGTAAGAAAGTTAAGAAGATCAGTGTTATCTCAACCAGGAACAAAGCACACTGGTAATTCGCAATCTTCTCAGTTAGCTCCTATAAAATAAAACACGCGAAATTTTATCTCTACAGATTGTTGTAAGAAAGTTAAAAAGAGAAAAAGGAAATTCGAATAAATTATCTTGTTCCTTCTCATGTGTTTGTTTATATTTTTCCAATTTAACTCCGGCGTTTGGGCTTCGCGTAACCTTACCATCTATCACTTCGCACACACCTGATTAATTTTATTTAAGCGTCAAGCGTGTCGCAACGAATTTTTATTCAACACTTTGCGCTGGAACTGCGAGCGAATCGCGTCCTCGTTGAGGATGTCGATGTGTAAACCGCAAGGCAGGAGGAGCCTTCGCCAAAAACACCCTGGTTCGTCTTCCACGGAGGAACAAAAATATCAACGGGCGACCGAGAGCGAACGATGAATCATTTGAAGAACAATCCAGAATAATCTGCCAAACATCGGCATTCCCAACGATTGCCACAATTCGCTCGCATTCACACGTGTTCACAACGTGTTCACCACATCACGCGCGAACGGAGACCGTACCGACCGACCTGACCGTACCGACCGAACTGAAGGATGCTGAAACAGCTGAAAGGTCTGAAAGAAAAGAACAAAGAAAAGAGGAAAAAGGAAAGGGTTGAGAGACGCTCGTCTCGTACATGCGCAATAAAACGAGCGTTAGCAGACGCTATTGTGGATCACATGTGAGATATATGATGGATGTA